ATGAATGATTTTAATCACTTTTTAAAGTACATTTATTGTCTATTTTGGGCATTGGAAATCTATTTTTGAACTGCTTTTTCAAGCTTTCAATCATTTTTGGATTGTCTTCTTTTTTCTTATTGATTTGTAGAAATTATTTGTATTTACTAGAATGCAGTCCCTTTCCAGATAAACATTTGGAAATATTGCCTCTTATCCTGTGAGTTGTCTGTCCATACTCTTTGGTTTTTAAAGATTTGGTTTTTATTTGAAAGAAGGGGAGAGAGGGATAGAAGGAGAGAAGAAGAAAGGATGAGAGTGAGGAGTGAGAGAGTTACCTTCCATTTGCTGGTTCACTCCCCAGCTGGCCACAAGAGCTTGAGCTGGACCAGGCCATGGTCAGAAACCTGGAACTCCATCCAGGTCACCCAGGGTCCACCTAAGCAGGCTATCCTAAGCTGCTTTCTCAATTACTTTAGCTTGCAGTCAGGATTCAGACTGGTGCTCTGATATGGGATGCTGACATTGTAGACAACAGCTTTGCTTGCTGGACCACAATGCAGCCCCTCATACTCTGAATAATGTCTTTTGATAGAGAAGTTCTGCAGTTCAATTTTTTTGTTATTTTCTTTAATAGTTAGTTATTTTTATGTTCTTATGAAGCTTTTGCCAAATCCAAGCTCATGAAAACATTCTCTTTTAATACCTTTCAAAAGTGTGTTGCCTATTCTTTCCCATTTAGATCAAAATTCATCTGGAATTAATTTGAATGTGCATTTTTAAAGGAGTCAAGGTTTGACAATGCATGGATATATAGTTGACTCAGCAACATTTCTTGAAAGCACTGTGATTTCCCTTTTTCATTATAGTGTTACTGACGTTATAAATGAAGTGACCATGTATGTGCGGACCTGATTCTTAACACTCTTTCATTTCACTGGTGTATTGTTCTATTCTTGAGCAAAGATTATATATTCTTTTTTTAGAGATTTATTTATTTATTTGAAAGTCAGAGTTAGAGAGAGAGAGAGAGAGAGAGGTCTTCCATCCACTGGTTCACTCCCCAATTGGCTGTAACAGCCAGAGCTGCGCTGATCCCAAGCCAGGAGCCAGGAGCTTCTTTTGGGTCCCCCATGTAGGTGCAGAGGCCCAAGGACCAGGGCCATCCTCTACTGCTTTCTCAGGCCACAGCAGAGAGCTGGTTTGGAAGTGGAGCAGCTGGGTCTTGAACTGGCGCCCATAAGGGATGTGGGCGCTTCAGGCCAGGGCATTAATCTGCTGCATCACAGTGCTGCCCCCCCCATATTTTCTTAATTTTTGGAATTTTGTAATACATCTTCATATTTGTAGCACAAATCTTCCAATTGTTTCTTTTTCATGATTTCTTTGATGAATTTTAGCTCTTCTCATTTGCACTAATTTTCATATACGAGTTGTCAGTTTTCAAAGACACAAGCATACACACATATACATGGGTGTGCATCTACTGGGATTTTTGTTGGGATTGCATTGAATCTGTAGAGTCAATGTTTCCTTCATAATATCTAATCCATCATAACCACCATTATCTAGCCTTCCATTATTTTAAATCATCTGTGTAATTTTCTTACTAATGTTTTCTATGTAGAAGTATTGCAGATATTTTTAGGTTTATTCCTACAGATTTGATGCTTTTATCATTTATTTTATTTCATTTTTTCATTTCTTTTATTTCATTTTGTAATTATTACTATTTTATCGAAACACAATTCATTTTTGTATATTAATTTGATATCCATTGACTTTACTATATTTACCTATTACGACTAACTGCTATTTGAAAGTTTTGGGATCACATCTTTGTTCTGAGTGCTCTCAGAGTTTATGTGGATTTGTCTCGGTACAAATTTTGAACTATTTTTGATTAATTCATTTGCTTTATACTTTGTACACTGTGTAATGGCACATGCTTATACAGAAGCTGGTAATGTCACTTAAGTAGGAACTTTATACATGTATATGACGAAAACCCTTCCAATTCTGTGGAAATGCTGATGCGTCCCCAGAGTACTCTAGATCCGTCTCCTCAACCAATCTCCATATCCTTCTGTCCTAGATAATGATCTGAATTTGGGCAGTTACTCTTCATTGCATCACTGCAATTAGCAATTTCCTTGGTCCTACATGAAGATTTCCAACACAGTTATCCTAGATATAATTGTAATGAGCACCTGAATTTTTCTTTCAAAAACTAAATTATTTGTATATATTTATAGAAATTATATAGAATAAATTATAGTATATAACTAAATTCATATTTACAGGAAGTTTGCCAAGTTTTAGTGAGTTCTATCATTTAGACTCACTAAACTTCTGCTACCTTATCGCCAAATTGGGACATTAATAATCTCTAACTCATAGTGATATGAGAACTAAATGAACAAACTGATCAATATTGTGAGCTCTTATATTAGTTCTCCGTGTTATACAAGTAATTACTTAATTAAGAAATGTTAAAATGCAAGGATCATTTCTCCCAGGCTAGAGAACTTTTCACAATAACACAAAGTGCTTCTCCACAATCACAAACCTAGGATGCTTTAACTAATAAATGCGAATGACTTAGATGCCACTTGGCATTTAAAAGCAATGATTTCCTAGGTGCTGCAGAAGCCACCTATATATTTTAATGTCAATTACAAAAAAAAAAAAAAACCACTGATTTTGTACAGGCAAATCTGCTCAATAAGCATTTAACAAACAAATGAAAAAGTGACACAATGATTATTTCATGTATGTTTTTGCCTTGTGACCGGTGTAACCCCTACCTACAGTAAACAGTGGGGACTCTATTATTCCTTAACAATTTCTGTTTCATACTTCTCACAATATAGTGGATGACTCCGTGCAGAGTAAGCTCAATTACCTGACAGATTTTTCAAGGTTCAAATCAAAGGCTTAAGTCTAGAGCATTTGAATGTTTCCCAAACTTTCCTTTAGGAATAGAAGAAACATGGATAAATGCTATACATAAGTACAGTCTGTATGCATCTGTAAAGTGCTTGCCATTTTGTTGGGTTTTAAGACAGGCCATCAATTAGAATAGGAATTATATAAGCCATGAGATGGGGTATGAAACAGCCACCACAGGCTCTGGCATGCTGTAGCTCTTCAGAAAACGACAATTCCTATTCTCTGCTCCCAAAGCCACCAAGAGGCTGCTAATATTGCTCCAGTCCCAGCCTGCTACCTGGGCAACTGGGCCATAGCACAAGGCTTTCCTCCAGGCCTTTGTTTCTCACTGCTTCTGAACTTCCTAACTGATCTGACACTTAGCCTTGGTAGCCTGGTGTTGTTGAAACTCATCCTGCCTACTTGAGCCAACCTTCTCCCAACAGGATCACAGGCTCCTTGAGGGAAGGTGTGGTTTATACTTTGATTTCACCATGAGTGCTGATTCATCAATTGCTTGATGTCCTACCTGCTACTCCTATCACATCCTCCATGGCAAAAGCCATCCTCTTGTATGAGGTTCAGTGTAATATCTGGGATTAAGGCCATAAATGGAACATGATCAAATGGGCCTTTGGGGGAATATTGTAGGACAGAAAATACTGAAAGAGCTCTGGTCTATGAAGAATGCTTACTTGATCCAAGTGGACTTCCACATCTGCTTCTCCATGACAGTACTCTTATAATTCAGTAAACATATATAATGATAATGTAATTCCTTTTGTGTACTTAAAGAGAATAGTAAATATTCACGTGGATTCAAATTTGCCTCCTTCAGTCACTGGTTTTTGGCATTGTGAAAGTTGCTTTACTTCTCCAAGCTTCAGAGTTCTCATTTGAAAAATGGTGGAGAATAATAGTATCAATCCTATACCAATTACAAGGTTCAGAGTAGACACACTTGGCTATTTTACTGAATATTTCAACAGGAATTTTTTTGAGAGCAAACTGATTTCATTGGACTTAGAAGGCTGAATGAGCAACAAAGTGAGCATGGAGGAAACCTGGACAGAAAGGAAGAAGGGACTGTCACACTCTGGGCTGAATCTACACACATTCAACAGAAGAAGAAGCAGGGTTATCAGAACGCAGAAGCCCAGGGGAAGAGCTGTGAAGTTCCTTAAGGATCCATGGCTCTGACTTGGAACATGGTTGCCATGCCTAACTGAAACAGGAATCTCTGATGAATCTCTGTGGCTGGCTTTGGGGTTGCCTAAAGAGACTAAAAACAGACACCACCTGCTGATTGCTGGAGCTGCTCTCCTCCACTGAGAGGAAAGCAGGAAGTCCCTTTGTCCTCTGCCCACCAGTTGCCCTCTCTGGTGCCCACTACTGGAAACAGAAGTAACCAAAGTCAGCTGGCAAAGAAAAATAAAGATTGCAGAATCCAATCCCCAGTATGACCAAGTAGAATATATAGAATGAGTTTGGAACTCAAAAAAGATAGTATGATAACTTGTCTACTTGATAGAATAATAATAGTGCCCATGCCATAGATTTGCTTTAGTAATTACTCAGGGACTTGGTATTGTAACATGGTATTTAGCACAGAGAATGGAACACAAACAAAACTGAAAAATTTTACCTACTCATTATTGTATATTTTTAATTTTAACTAGTTTTTTATCAAATGATCAAGCATCCTTTATTTACTATATTAACCTTAATAAAGTTTGATGACACAGACCTATTTGTCACTATAAAAGTGAGTTTTGAGCGGATGTGTGACTCAGGGCAATGAAACACAAACACAAGAGGAAAGTATCTTACGAAGAAAAGAAAGTCCCTGCTCTTTCACAACCAACCACCAGGTAAATGGCTGCTTACTCATTGCCCAGAAAGTCGAATGCATCAGCATCAGACTTCCATTGCAATCCATACGTATACCCAATGTTTGTCACTGAATTCCCAATTAGTGCCTTTAGACTCTTCGTGTGTATCCCATTTATCTCTTGAGTTTCAGGACAAACAGAGCAGTGACAGTGTGGCAGACACGTGTTCCCTTCTTGGTTTAAGAGATGTTCTCTTACCACCAATCAGCATGGTACAGATGGAGAAGATCTTCTCTGCGTCTGTGTTAGCAGACACGTTGCCAAACCCAACACTGGTGAGGCTGCTGAGGGTGAAGTACAGCGCAGCGATGTAGGCACTGCGGATTGAGGGGCCCCCCAAGGTGTTGTTGCCATAGTAGGGGGATTCCAGTCTCTTTCCCAACTCATGGAGCCAACCTGCAAGGGAGACAGAAAAGCAAACTTAAGCTTAAAATAGAAGGTCCCAGGATCAGCTTATGTGGGTGATGGCAAAAGAACATTTTAGAGACATAATAATTTGCTCAGACAGAAAAAGAAAGTTAAAAGTAAATTATAAGCAAGGAATTTGATTTTGTTGCTCTAGAAACCAAAGTATCTACATGGTTTTGTCTGTAATAAATACAGCAGAGAAATATGCATTTGAGAGTACAAAGTGGTCAAAACTAAACAAGACACCTAGAGCAAGTACTAATTGCAGAGATTGCGATGGGGGTCAAAATTCTTAGTGACAGAGCTGTATATATCACTAAACTTGTTAAGCTCATTTCTCAACTGAAATTTCAAGATGTGAGGGGGTTAAGTAAATATTTTAAAATGCTACATGACAAATAGCAGTAAGACTTTAGATAGGTGAGATGAATTTTATTTCATTTCTGTGAAACTTATGCCCTTTTTATTCAATTAAGCTCACAACAAAAATGCCTTTTATGTCATGTTACCTTACTTTAGAAGCCTTCTTTGCCACCTCATTCTTCCTTCGGGGATGGAGGTGTGTGTGGGGATGGAGGTGTGTTAGGGAACCTGCACAGGTAATACATATCTATAATGGAATTGGATGGCTCCATTCAACTGTCTTTTGTTACTGGTGCATATATGTGTCAAAATTTATGAAATTACATGCTTTAAATATGTCTAGTTGTTATGTCAATTTTACTGTCAAAAGTCTATAAAATCTATACTAATAAAGACTAGCAAATATAATAATGATAATGCCATGATCTACAATGGCAACATAACACAAAGACAACTTTAAAATCCTTTATAGGAAATATTTTCCCCTTAACAGTCATATTTTATAATTTTATATCTTTTTTTTGACAGACAGAATGGACAGTGAGAGAGAGAGAGACAGAGAGAAAGGTCTTCCTTTACCGTTGGTTCACCCTCCAATGGCCGCTGCGGCCGGCCCGCTGTGGCCGGCGCACCACGCTGATCCGAAGCCAGGAGCCAGATGTTTCTCCTGGTCTCCCATGGGGTGCAGGACCCAAACACTTGGGCCATCCTCCACTGCACTCCTGGGCCACAGCAGAGAGCTGGCCTGGAAGAGGAGCAACCAGGACAGAATCCAGTGCCCCGACCGGGACTAGAACCCGGGGTGCTGGTGCCGCAGGTGGAGGATTAACCTATTGAGCTGTGGCGCTGGCCTAATTTTATATCTTACAATTAAATATTTTATACTTTTCTTTTTCTGTGTGTAATTTTCACCAGACTTTTGTTAATATTTGTTAATTTACAAATCATTTTCTTACAAACATTAAACTTAATGACTCTCCAAGAAGAGATGGAAACCACATTCTTCTGAAGAAGTAATAACACATCCAAGTTATATACCGCAGAGCTGTGCTAGATAATTAAAATGGAGATTTAAACAGGAATTCCTTGAGACCACGAAGAAAGGTTTAGTGACTGGTCCTGTGGCTGATTCTCCCTGGGTCTCCAGAGAAGCATGTCTGAACCTGTAGTTTGCATCAGAAACACCGTGAGGACTGTAGAACAGAGATCGCAGGCTCTAGCCTTGGCATTTCTAGAACTGTAGGTGGGAAGGATAGAGATAGGGCTGAGAACTTGCCACTCCAACAGGTTCCCAGGTGATGCTGATTCTGCCAAACTGCACTTTGACAAACCACCACTCTAGGACAAGGAATCAAAGCTGACAACACTGGAAAACTTTTTAAAAAATACACTGTCCAGGTTCCACCTCCATAAACTGAATCAGAATTTCTGGTGCTAAGTCTAGGTATGGGCATTTTTTTTAAAGTTTCCAAGTAGAATCTAATATGAAGATGTGGCTTAGAATCACTATATTCCAGAACTTTTCAAATCATCTGGCAATAGTAGGATTTAGTAAATGGCAGGCTAAAAAGTGAACACATTAATGAATGCACACATAGTCCTTAAGTGATGGTATGAGATAATATGAGAGCACTTATGCAGACAGAGTAACATATATGCATCTGTAAATTTGTACTAGATTTATGTACAAAGTGCAGTGAAAGTGTTTTTTGATGCCAGAGAATAATAATCCCATGTAGGGGTTATAGGTTATGAAAAGCAATGCTGTACATAAATTATGGCCATTCACACCACTTAGAAATATTTTGTGGAAGGGATTAACTATAGATTCAAAACAGATATAAATCTGGTCTCTTCTATATATAAGCTGTGTGAATAACTAACCTTTGAGCTTCAATTTTTTCATTTGTAAAGACAAGGGTGCTAATTGGCAACAACATTAAATTAGATGCCACATGAAGAAAATGCCAACCACTGTTACTAGGAGAGCTTTTAGGACATCACATCTTTTTTATTTCATTCTCTTTCTCTCTTTTTAACTTTTTTTTTTTTTTTTTGAAAGACAGAGTGGACAGTGAGAGAGAGAGACAGAGAGAAAGGTCTTCCTTTGCCGTTGGTTCACCCTCCAATGGCCGCCGTGGCTGGTGCGCTGCGGCTGGAGCACCACACTGATCCGAAGGCAGGAGCCAGGTGCTTCTCCTGGTCTCCTATGGGGTGCAGGGCCCAAGCACTTGGGCCATCCTCCACTGCACTCCTGGGCCACAGCAGAGAGCTGGCCTGGAAGAGGGGCAACCGGGACAGAATCCGGCGCCCCAACCAGGACTAGAACCCGGGATGCCGGTGCCGCAGGCGGAGGATTAGCCTAGTGAGCTTCGGCGCCAGCCTTCTTCTTCTTTTTTGTTCTTTATTTGACAGATAGAGTTAGACAGTGAGAGAGAGAGAGACAGAGAGAAAGGTCTTCCTTCTGTTGGTTCACCCCCCAAATGGCTGCTATGGCCGGAGCTACGCCGATCTGAAGCCAGGAGCCAGATTATTCTTCCTGGTCTCCATGTGGGTGCAGAGGCCCAAGCACTTGGGCCATCCTCCACTGCCCTCCTGGGCCAAAGCAGAGAGTTGGACTGGAAGAGGAGCAACCGGAATTAGTAGCTGACACCCATATGGGATGCCGGCACCGCAGGTGGAGGATTAACCAAGTGAGCAATGGCGTGAGCCCCTCTTATGTTTCATAAGTTGGAATGTAGAAAGCACATAATTCAAAAAGATAAGAGAAAATATGAAGCCAGCAGTGAAGTATAATGGAGAAAGGATGGTGGAGATAAATGTATTTGGTAGGATCCACTGGCATGTGGCTACAAGGTAGTATTTCCTAATACATGTGGGAGAGAGGAAACCAGGGGACAGTAGTTCTTAGAACTGGGTGATACATACACCTTTTTGTGAATCTGAAGACAGACACGGGTCCTAGTTTATGTGTTTATGTGGAGAATCACACATGATCTCGTGTACACTTACAGGTGACTTGTGGCTTCCTGCAGCCATTTCACCTCTATGTGGTCCAAGGATGCACATTAAAATGTTCTGCTCTACAATTTTAAGTGAGAGGGAGGAGAGAAAGCAGCGATAAAGTAAGATGTGGTAAAACTAAGATTAATCTTTTACAGAAATGGTTTAGAAAGAAAGACAATTTATCCAAGAATAGTTAAAGAGATATCACCAAAGCAAGTCAAATATATCTTCTAAAATATTACTGCTGAATGCACTGTAGAAGAGAGGAGACGCAGTGGTAAAATCAAGACACGGAATTCATCGTTCTATTCAGGATGGAGATTTCTGCGGAGCAGTGCCCTCGCAGGAACGGGCCTGAAGTCTGCGGAGCATGGGCTACAATGGGGGACTGAACGCTGCTGGGCTGGCAATTTTGCAGGCATCCTCCAAGTTGTGCTCTGAAAGAGGTGTCACTTCCTCTCTGCTAGACAAACAAGGGACTAGAGGGGGCTTGTCCCCCTTTTTCTTTCCATATTGGCCATTCTTGCTAACCATAGGAAAGTCCCCAAAAGTGAAATGTGTCACTTTTCCTGAAGAGTAAATATTACCTGACCAAATTTTTCTTTTAGCAGAAGCGTGGGGTGGGGGAGGGAAAGTGGTGCAAAAGCTCATGGTAAAAATGCTGCTTGGAGGGACTGTTACATAAGCCGACATCCCAACATGGCGTTTGGGTGTCCCAAATGGTGGACTACCTTTCTGTGTCACTGACAATCTTATATTTGGAAAATTATATATAATGAAACTCAATATATCTTCCCCTAAAGGAGAAAAAAAAATGCTTCTTGTTTTCAACTGAATGAGCTATACAATCAATCATGGGACCTATCTGTTGATTAATTTAATTGAAGTATTATCCATTTACCTACAGATTCTGAAATTTTCTCATAAAAAAGAAGTGAACAGAGCCAGCTAATACATTTATTTCAACTCCTTAAACATAAGTACAACATAGAAGTATTCTCTGCACTCAATCATGTTTTGTAAAATTTGCTTTTCTTAATAAAACAGGATAAAAGTTTATATTAGGACATTTATTATATTTTCAAATAGTGCCTATCTGATTATGCACATCTAAGCTTGTTTCTCAGGAGTGGTTCCAGGAACAACACACAACAGACCTACTTTTGTTGACACTGTACCTCCTTTCTGTCTAGTCAACTGTTTTGTCTATTTTGAGAAATATCTTGCTTTTTAAAAGGATTGCTGCTAAACTGTAATCCAGCTGACAGAGCAGAAGCAATAATGAAAATGGAGCAAACCGCTAACATGGAGAGGAGGCACCACCCACAAACCTGGGGATTGGCTACATGGCTAAATAAAGCTTTCACAGAACAGCTCGTCCAAAATGAGAGCACATGTTCCACTGTAACAAGACAACATGTCACTGTACTGTAGAGAAGGAGCAATTTAACCGATTTGGAATCCAATCTTTTTTTATGCTAGAGAACTCATGTCTCTAAAGAAACGGATGTCCTAGAACAGTCTGTCTGCTTCTGCTCATTTTTTTCTCTCAAGAAAATTTTCAAAGGAGAAACAATATACAATGCAGACTCTAAATATACCTAAAACACTGCCATTTA